TTGGGCATTCTGCAGCCGCATGCCACTGCACCACGGCCACCCCCAGTGTCGGGGGGAGGCCAGGCACTGACTGGGGAGCAGCACTGGCCACAGTCCCCCGTAGGAAAGGGCCTGCCTCCTGTAAGGACACAGACCCCTTCCCATCACCCTAAAACCCACCAGCTGCCCCACCGGAGAGCCAGAGACTCCTCAAACCCCAGGCATCTTCCCCATGACTGTCGACCTGAGCCCAGACACTGCGGTGATGGACGGGCTGAACTCCTGGCTGGGGGGCAAGATCCTGGCTGGGAACCAGGCACTCAGGGTGGGTCTCAGCCCGAAGCGCGCCCTGGGCTGTGTGCTGGTGAAGGAGAGTTCCTGGGGCCCTTGGCCATGGAAAGCAACAACAGACCCGACTCCCGCAGCCTGGGGCACAGCCAGGGCCTCGAGCCAAGCCAGACGGGCGGCGCTGCCCTCTGCACGGAGCATTGGCTGAGTGGCTCTGGGGCAGTGCACATGGGGTGGGGGTGGAGGGATGGAGAGGCTGCTGTTGGGGGGGGAAGGTGGGGTGAGGTGGGTGGGGATGAAGTTGGGTGGTGGGAAGGTTGGTATGAGGTTGGGGATAGGGGATGAGGTTGGTCTGTGGGGGGGGACGTGTGAAGTGGGATGAAGAGGTGGGGTCTGTGGGGCAGGTTTCATAGAATCTCAGGGTTGGAAGGGACCTCAGGAGGTATCTAGTCCAACCCCCTGCTCAAAGCAGGACCAGTCCCCAGTTTTTGCCCCAGATCCTTAAATGGCCCCCTCAAGGATTGAACTCCCAACCCTGGGTTTAGCAGGCCAATGCTCAACCCACTGAGCTAGGTTTGATGGGGATGGGGAGCAGGAGGTGTTGGGGGAGGGGGAGATGGGATGTGGGGGAGGTTTGATGGGGGATGGGGAGGTGGGGTCTGTGGGGGGAGGTGGACTGTGGGGGGAGGTTTGATGGGGGATGAGGAGGGGGAGGTTAGATGGGGTGGGGGATGAGGTGGGGTCTGTGGGGGGAGGTTTGATGGGGGATGGGGTGGGGGAGGTGTTGGGAGAGGGGGAGATGGGATGTGGGGGAGGTTTGATGGGGGATGGGGAGGTGGGGTCTGTGGGGGAGGTGGACTGTGGGGGAGGTTTGATGGGGGATGAGTGGGGGAGGTTAGATGGGGTGGGGAATGAGGTGGGGTCTGTGGGGGAGGTTTGATGGGGGATGGGGAGGTGGGGTCTGTGGGGGGAGGTGGGGGGGGGGGGGGGGGGGGGGGGGGGGGGGGAGGGGGGAGGTGTTGGGGGGGGGGAGATGGGAGGGAGGAGGTTTGGGGGAGGGGGGGGGGTGGGGGGGTGGAGTGTGGGGGAGGTTTGAGGGAGGCTGAGGAGGGGGAGGTGTTGGGGGAGGGGGAGATGGGATGTGGAGGAGGTTTGATAGGGGATGGGGAGGTGGGGTCTGTGGGGGAGGTGGAGTGTGGGGGAGGTTTGATTGGGGATGGGGAGCGGGAGGTGTTGGGGGATGGGGAGATGGCATGTGGGGGAGGTTTGATAGGAGAGGGGGAGATGGGATGTGGGGGAGATTTGATGGGGGATGAGGAGGTGGAGTGTGGGGGAGGTTTGATGGGGGATGGGGTGGGGGAGGTGTTGGGAGAGGGGGAGATGGGATGTGGAGGAGGTTTGATGGGGGATGAGGAGGTGGGGTCTGTGGGGGAGGTGGAGTGTGGGGGATGTTTGAGGGGGGCTGAGGAGGGGGAGCTTTGATGGGGAGGGGGAGATGGGATGTGGGGGAGGTTTGAGGGGGAGGGGGAGCGGGAGGTGTTGGGGGAGGGGGAGATGGGATGTGGGGAAGGTTTGATGGGGGATGAGGACGGGGAGGTGTCACGGAGTCCCCGGGCGATGCTCTGGAACTGCTCCCCAGGAAGCCAGGCAGGACTCTGGGGAAGTCTCCTCTCGGGGAGCAGCCTGTCTGCAGGACACACAGCTCACCCGGCTCCACCTTCCTGGGTCTGACCTCGGAGCATTCAGCATCCTCTGCCCCTCCGTGTGCTTCCCACAGCGAGTCCGCCCAGGCGGGCTCCTGGGGAAGCCAGAGGGTCCTGCCCCCCAACTCCGCAGTCAGACGTGACTCTCAGCCAGCCAGGAAAACAGAAGGTTTATTAGACGACAGGAACATGGTCTAAAACCGAGCTTGTAGGTGCAGAGAACCGGACCCCTCAACCGGGTCCATTTTGGGGGGGCAGTGAGCCAGACAACCCCGTCTGCCCTTCATTCCATGTCCCAGCCAGCCCCAAACTGAAACTCTCTCCAGCCCCACCTCCTCTGGGCTTTGTCCCTTTCCCAGGCCAGGAGGGCACCGGATTACTTTGTTCTCCAACCCTTTAGATCTCACCTTGCAGGGGGGAAGGGCCCAGGCCATCAGTTCCCAGGAAACAGGGTGTCGGCCATCCTCTGTGTCCAGACTCCTGCACACACAAGCCCTCTAAGGCTCTGCAAGGATCATACACCCTTACCCCCACTGTGACGAAGTGGGACTGTTCTTAATGTTTCCTCTGAATAGTGTGGGGGTGCCTCAGTTTCCCCTAGGCAGTTCTTAAGTATCTAGGTGGTGGAGTAAGGGTGTATGATCATTGCAGAGCCCTAGAGGGCAGGTGTGTGCAGGGGTCTGGACACAGAGAATGACCAACACCCTGTTTCCTGGCAACTGATGGCCTGGGCCCTTCCCCCTGCAAGGTGAGAGCTAAAGGGTTGGAGAACAAAGGAATCAGGTGACCACCTGGCCCGGGAAAGGAACAAAGCCCAGAGGAGGAGGGACTGGAGGGGGTTTTCAGTTTGGGGCTGGCTGGGACATGGAGTGAAGTGCAGACGTGGTTGTCTGGCTCACTGCCCCCCAAAATGGACCCAGCTGAGGGGTCCGTTCTCTGCACCTGCAAGCTCTATTTTAGACCATGTTCCTGTCATCTAATAAACCTTCTGTTTTACTGGCTGGCTGAGAGTCACGTCTGACTGCGGAAGTTGGGGTGCAGGACCCTCTGGCTTCCCCAGGAGCCCCGCCTGAGCGGACTCGCTGGGGGAAGCGCACGGAGGGGCAGAGGATGCTGAATGCTCCGAGGTCAGACCCAGGAAGGTGGAAGCTGTGTGAGCTGTGTGTCCTGAAGACAGGCTGCTCACAGAAAGGCGACTGCCCCAGAGTCCTGACTGGCTTCATGGGGAGCAGTTCCAGAGCATCGCCCAGGGACTCCGTGACAACTGGTGGCAGTGGTGGGATGTACTGCACCCCGTGGATGGCGCTTCCTGCAGTAAGTGACTGGGGAGCAGTAACACGAAGGGGGATTGCCGAGGACCAGGCCTGGTGAAGGCTCAGAAAGGAGCGGTTTCGGGGGGCGGTTAACCCCTCTGAGTGTGTGACCAGCGAGAAGGACTGTGCAGTAACAGGGGTCCCCCTGGGGATTGCAGCGAGCAGTCTTAGGGGCGGAGGAGTCTGCAGCTCGACCCTGGCAAAGAGGTGGTGACCTCGAGAAGGGCTGGCACACTAGGGGTTCTCCCTGGAAACCGTGGGGAGCTGAGAACACACGGGCCTGTGAGTCCACAACAACTTGGGAGGAGCGGAGTGATGGCCTGTCACCGTCTCCTTAAGAAGGACATTGTAACCCTGTGCAGAAAGAGAGGGTTGAGCGTTGGAAAGTTCACCAAAGCAGAGTTAATCGTGCAGCTGGAGGAGGATGACCGCTCTAAGGAACAGATTCCTGACCCCAACTGGGGCTATAGCAGGATCTGGGAGCAGCTGGAGCGGGAGCCAGGCATCGCCAAGACTCCTGTCCCCGACCAGACGGGGGTCTTCACGATCGGGTTCCCCATCGGGGGATCGAGACGGACGGGATTGGAGCTGAGTCTGAGAGAGCAAGAGGACCCTGGGAGACAGCGAGAGCCCGAGAAAGAGCTGCAGAAGCAGCAGCAGCATGAACTGGCGGTGGTGGGGCGGAGAGGCCTAGGGGACCTCCCAGGGGTGAGTGGGGATAGATCCCGGGGGCCAGTTCCGCAGGGAACCTCGAGACTAAATTGCTGCCCCTGGTTAAGGGGGGGGGTTTGGATGCCCACCTCACTGCCTTTGAGCAGGCTGGCGATTTGAACCAGGGGGACCCTGCGGAAAAGCCCCGGTGTCTAGCTCCCTTGCTGGGTCCCAAGGCCATAGACTCCGCCAGCCAGATGGTTGGGGATGTGGACAGGCTCCCACTCCTGACCCCAACCTATATGTCTGTGTGGAGTGTCCTGGGGCCAGGCCCCTCGGACCTCCAGTGGGATCAGAAGGTGATGGTCAATGGGGAGACATTCTTGGGGTGGCCAAAGGGCATGGGCTGCATAAACCTTCCCACATGCGGCCTGCGAGTGCTATCGACCACCCCTGACCTAAGGGAGGGTGTGAAAATGGAAGGGCCTGGTGTAACTCCTACCAAGGAATGGGAGAGATGCTGGGGCATCCATGGGAACGTTGGTGGCTTCGAACTTCCCCAGGTCACCGGCTAAAGTGACCCCGCTCAGTTCGATCTCGAAGGGGGGAGAGATGTGACGAAGTGGGACTGTTCTTAATGTTTCCTCTGAATAGTGTGGGGGTGCCTCAGTTTCCCCTAGGCAGTTCTTAAGTATCTAGGGGGTGGAGTAAGGGTGTATGATCATTGCAGAGCCCTAGAGGGCAGGTGTGTGCAGGGGTCTGGACACAGAGAATGACCAACACCCTGTTTCCTGGCAACTGATGGCCTGGGCCCTTCCCCCCTGCAAGGTGAGAGCTAAAGGGTTGGAGAACAAAGGAATCAGGTGACCACCTGGCCCGGGAAAGGAACAAAGCCCAGAGGAGGAGGGACTGGAGGGGGTTTTCAGTTTGGGGCTGGCTGGGACATGGAGTGAAGTGCAGACGTGGTTGTCTGGCTCACTGCCCCCCAAAATGGACCCAGCTGAGGGGTCCCGTTCTCTGCACCTGCAAGCTCTATTTTAGACCATGTTCCTGTCATCTAATAAACCTTCTGTTTTACTGGCTGGCTGAGAGTCACGTCTGACTGCGAAGTTGGGGTGCAGGACCCTCTGGCTTCCCCAGGAGCCCCGCCTGAGCGGACTCGCTGGGGGAAGCGCACGGAGGGGCAGAGGATGCTGAATGCTCCGAGGTCAGACCCAGGAAGGTGGAAGCTGTGTGAGCTGTGTGTCCTGAAGACAGGCTGCTCACAGAAAGGCGACTGCCCCAGAGTCCTGACTGGCTTCATGGGGAGCAGTTCCAGAGCATCGCCCAGGGACTCCGTGACACCCACCATCTAGACACTTAAGAACTGCCTAGGGGAAACTGAGGCACCCCCACACTATTCAGAGGAAACATTAAGAACAGTCCCACTTCATCACATCTCTCCGCCCTTCGAGATCGAACTGAGCGGGGTCACTTTAGCCAGTGACCGGGGGAAGTTCGAAGCCACCAACGTTCCCATGGATGCTCCAGCATCTCTCCCATTCCTTGGTAGGAGTTACACCAGGCCCTTCCAGTTTCACGCCCTCCCTTAGGTCAGGGGTGGTCGATAGCACTTGCAGGTGCTATCCGATGAAGTGAGCTGTAGCTCACAAAACCTTATGCTCAAATAAATTGGTTATTTTCTAAGGTGCCACAAGTCCTCCTTTTCTTTTTGATTAAATCACTTTCACACCCTTCAGTTGCACTAAACTGCTTGCAAAGACTCCATGAGGATTCCTTTCCCGAGGGCTTTTCTATGCAACAATTCACCGTGCACAGAAATTCTGCTCTTCACCTAGGGCTTGCTCTAGAGGAACACTTTCCTGAGCAACAACAGACTCTTTCTGGGTCTCCCTTACATCCAGAATTACCTCTGGCCCATCCGGCGGATTCCTACACAATCCCCTTTCAGGCAAACTCACAGACTTCCTAGATAAAAGGTCAGAAGCATTCTCCTTCCCTTTGCCACACACAAGTTCAGGAATCTTTTCCTTCTTGCGACAGGTTTCCACACCCTCAGTAGGTAACACAATCAAATCACCTTCATGCTCTCCTTGTGCCCTGGCTAGGATCTCACCCTGATTAGACAGAGTTGCTCCACCCTTTAAAACAACACACTAGCAACAGGCAAAATACAAGCACCAGAATTGTCTGGTCTCTGGGATTTTACATAGACACTAACTGGATGCGACCTAGTTACAGGGCCATTCTCCCGAGCAGATGCAAATTTAGGACCGTTCCCTTCCTGGGCTTTAGCTGAATCCAGAACAAACTCTGAGACAACTGCACGACCCTCAACCATCACTGGCTGAAAGGCCCCTTCTGTCTGCTCCACAGACAAAGAAGAGCCGGACACGCTTTCTCCTTTCCCAGACACACAGCTTGGGGTCTCTCTCCCCTTGTCCCAGCACACAAGGCTGGTCACAGACAACCGCTTGGAGACCGGCGTAGTTACCTCCATAGGCAAGTCAATACCCCTGGCAAACACAGACACATTTCCTTCCCTGTCACACTTTTCCACGCAGGTAACAGGTAAGGTCCAGGGACTCTCATCTTCCACTCTCCTCGCCTTCCCACACTGCTGACTAGACACAGCCATCAGCTCACAAGGCTGCCTAGGCTCATCCAGACTTTCCTTACCAAGCACCTTGCCACTCCCAACAGATCCCCTGCCCTGCCCTGCCTGTGTCTCCCCCCACTCAGCTGGGGTCTCAGCTCCCACTGTGCTCAGCGCTGCCCTTGCTGTCCCAGTGGGGGTAGGCAGCGAGCTCCCTGCTTTCCTCACTGCATCAGAGCCAGCGTGAGCCCCCTCTCCAGCGACTGGTTCCCTGGATTCAAATTCAAACCCTTGGCCGTTACAGGAGCAGGGCCTGGATCCTGTCCCAAAGAGACAGTCACCCCACAACAGGGTCTCGCAGCTGGTGTCCTGGAGCACCCCAACGACCAGCCGGCCCCACCCCTCCTGGGTCTGCACAGGGATCTGGGCCATAGGCAGGGCGAGGGGCTTCGTCCCTGGGACCCTCACCCAGCTCACACAGCCCCTCAGCATCTGAGGCTGCACCACCCAGGGCCTGACAACAGTTCTCTCTCTCCCAGGATCTCGCCACCCCAGGAATGTCTCCCCATTGACCATCACCTCCTGCTCCCACTGGGGATCCGAGGGGCCTGAGCCCAGGAGACTCCACGCAGACATATAGGTTGCGGTCAGGAGTGGGAGCCTGTCCACCTCCCCACCCATCTGGCGGACGGAGTCTATGGCCTTGGGACCCAGTGTCACGGAGTCCCTGGGCGATGCTCTGGAACTGCTCCCCATGAAGTCAGTCAGGACTCTGGGGTAGTCGCCTTTCTGTGAGCAGCCTGTCTTCAGGACACACAGCTCACACAGCTTCCACCTTCCTGGGTCTGACCTCAGAGCATTCAGCATCCTCTGCCTCTCCGTGCGCTTTCCCCCAGCGAGTCCGCTCAGGCGGGGCTCCTGGGGAAGCCAGAGGGTCCTGCACCCCAACTTTGCAGTCAGACGTGACTCTCAGCCAGCCAGTAAAACAGAAGGTTTATTAGACGACAGGAACATGGTCTAAAACAGAGCTTGCAGGTGCAGAGAACGGGACCCCTCTGCTGGGTCCATTCTGGGGGGCAGTGAGCCACACAACCAGGTCTGCACTTCACTCCATGTCCCAGACAGCCCCAAACTGAAAACCCCTCCAGCCCCTCCTCCTCTGGGCTTTGTTCCTTTCCCGGGCCAGGTGGTCACCTGATTCCTTTGTTCTCCAACCCTTCAGCTCTCACCTTGCAGGGGGGGAAGGGCCCAGGCCATCAGTTGCCAGGAAACAGGGTGTCGGCCATTCTCTGTGTCCAGATCCCTGCACACACCTGCCCTCTAGGGCTCTGCAATGATCATACACCCTTACCCCACCACCTAGATACTTAAGAACTGCATAGGGGAAACTGAGGCACCCCCACACTATTCAGAGGAAACATTAAGAACAGGCCCACTTCGTCACACCCAGCAAGGGAGCTAGACACCGGGGCTTTTCCGCAGGGTCCCCCCGGTTCAAATCTCCAGCCTGCTCAAAGGCAGTGAGGTGGGCATCCACATCCCCCCCCTCCTTAACCAGGGGCAGCAATTTAGTCTCGAGGTTCCCTGCGGAACTGGCCCCCTGGGGTCTATCCCCACTCACCTCTGGGGGGTCCCCTAGGCCTCTCCGCCCCACCACCGCCAGTTCATGCTTCTGCTGCTTCTGCAGCTCTTTCTCGGGCTCTCGCTGTCTCTCACAGTCCTCTTGCTCTCTTGGACTCAGCTCCAATCCCGTCCGTCTCCGATCCCCGGATGGGGAACCCGATCGTGAAGACCCCCGTCTGGTCGGGGACAGGAGTCTTGGCGATGCCTGGCTACTACTCCAGCTGCTCCCAGATCCTGCTATAGCCCCATTTGGGGTCAGGAATCTGTTCCTTAGAGCGGTCATCCTCCTCCAGCTGCACGATGAACTGTGCTTTGGTGAACTTTCCAGCGCTCATCCCTCTCTTTCTGCACAGGGTTACAATGTCCTTCTTCAGGAGACGGTGACAGGCCATCACTCCGCTCTTCCCCAGTTGTGTGGACTCACAGGCCTGAGTGCTCTCAGCTCCCCACGGTTTCCAGGGAGAACCCCTAGTGTGCCAGCCCTTCTCGAGGTCACCCCCTCTTTGCCAGGGTCAAGCTGCAGACTCCTCCGCCCCTGGGACCGCTCGCTGCAATCCCCCGGGGGACCCTGTTACTGCAAAAGTCCTTCTCTCTGGTCACACACTCCCAGGGGTTAACCGCCCCCTGAAACGGTCTCTCTCTGAGCCTTCAGCACGCCTGGTCCCCATCAATCCCCCTTCATTTTACTGCTCCCCAGTCACTTACTGCAGGAAGCGCTGTCCACGGGGTGCAGTACATCCCACCACTACCACCAGTTGCCACGGAGTCCCCGGGCGATGCTCTGGAACTGCTCCCCATGAAGCCAGTCAGGACTCTGGGGCAGTTGCTTTTCTGTGAGCAGCCTGTCTTCAGGACACACAGCTCACACAGCTTCCACCTTCCTGGGTCTGACCTCGGAGCATTCAGCCTCCTCTGCCCCTCCGTGCGCTTCCCCCAGCGAGTCCGCCCAGGCGGGGTCCTGGGGAAGCCAGAGGGTCCTGCACCCCAACTTCGCAGTCAGACGTGACTCTCAGCCAGCCAGTAAAACAGAAGGTTTATTAGACGACAGGAACATGGCCTAAAACAGAGCTTGTAAGTGCAGAGAATGGGACCCTTCAGCTGGGTCCATTTTGGGGGGCAGTGAGCCAGACAACCATGTCTGCACTTCACTCCATGTCCCAGCCAGCCCCAAACTGAAACTCCCTCCAGCCCCTCCTCCTCTGGGCTTTGTCCCTTTCCTGGGCCAGGAGGGCACCAGATTCCTTTGTTCTCCAACCCTTTAGCTCTCACCTTGCAGGGGGGAAGGGCCCAGGCCATCAGTTGCCAGGAAACAGGGTGTCGGCCATTCCCTGTGTCCAGACCCCTGCACACACCTGCCCTCTAGGGCTCTGCAATGATCATACACCCTTACCCCACCCCCTAGAGACTTAAGAACTGCCTAGGGGAAACTGAGGCACCCCCACACTATTCAGAGGAAACATTAAGAACAGTCCCAGATGGGATGTGGGGGAGGTTTGAGGCGGGATGAGAAATGGGAGGTGTTGGGGGAGGGGAAGATGGGATGTGGGGGAGGTTTGAGCGGGGATGAGGACAGGGTGTGGGCACCAGGGCTGACCGCGGTCTGCGGGGGCAGCAGCTGGGCCGACACGGCGAATGGGTGCCAGGCAGCTGGAGCTCTCCCTTGCATGGGCTGGCTCTGACAGTGACCCCTTGAGGATCCCCCCACACAGCCGGGGAAGCCGCCCAGCAGGGCCGGGCCCAGTTCCGGCCTCCGCCAGTTGTCCCGCCCCTCCACGTGGGGTCTGGACTGCCCTGGGCTGGCCTGGGGTGGGGGAGGCAGGGGCTGGATCATGCCACAGCGGAGGGCGGCTCTGAGGGGCAACGCAACAGCGCCCCCGGCTGGCAGCTGCTTCCCATTGTGCCTGTGGGCCTGAGCCTGGGTCATGACAGGCAGCAGGCGACCCACACCGCTCCCGAGCACGCTGGAACAGGGCACGCCCCCACCCCAGCACAGCCCCAGTTTGTGGGGCTGGCAAGGAAAAGTGCTATGGCGGAGTTGTGGGGGGGGGGCAGGTTTGGGGTGAGAAAGATTAGAAAAATTGGGTGTGTTTGGGATTAGGGATTGCGGGACAGGTGCAGGGGGTTGGGGTGTGCTGGGGGCTAGGGGTTGGGGGACAGTGAGGTTTGGGGGTAGGAGAGGTGCAGAGGGTTGGGGTGTGCTGGGTGTGACGAAGTGGGACTGTTCTTAATGTTTCCTCTGAATAGTGGGGGGGTGCCTCAGTTTCCCCTAGGCAGTTCTTAAGTATCTAGGGGGTGGAGTAAGGGTGTATGATCATTGCAGAGGGCAGCTGTGTGCAGGGGTCTGGACACAGAGAATGGCCGACACCCTGTTTCCTGGCAACTGATGGCCTGGGCCCTTCCCCCCTGCAAGGTGAGAGCTAAAGGGTTGGAGAACAAAGGAATCAGGTGACCTCCTGGCCCGGGAAAGGAACAAAGCCCTGAGGAGGAGGGGCTGGAGGGGGTTTTCAGTTTGGGGCTGGCTGGGACATGGAGTGAAGTGCAGACGTGGTTGTCTGGCTCACTGCCCCCCAAAATGGACCCAGCTGAGGGGTCCTGTTCTCTGCACCTACAAGCTCTGTGTTAGACCATGTTCCTGTCGTCTAATAAACCTTCTGTTTTACTGGCTGGCTGAGAGTCACGTCTGACTGCGGAGTTGGGGTGCAGGACCCTCTGGCTTCCCCAGGACCCCGCCTGGGCGGACTCGCTGGGGGAAGCGCACGGAGGGGCAGAGGATGCTGAATGCTCCGAGGTCAGACCCAGGAAGGTGGAAGCTGTGTGAGCTGTGTGTCCTGAAGACAGGCTGCTCACAGAAAGGCGACTGCCCCAGAGTCCTGACTGGCTTCATGGGGAGCAGTTCCAGAGCATCGCCCAGGGACTCCGTGACACTGGGGGTTAGGGGTTCAGGGACAGTGAGGTTTGGGGGTATGAGAGGTACAGGAGGTTGGGGTGTGCTGGGGGTTAGGGGTTGGGGGACAGTGAGGATTGGGGGTAGGAGAGGTGCAGAGGGTTGGGGTGTGCCTGGCATGGCCTCACTGGGTTCCTGCCCCACTCCCTGCAACTCCCGCCCCCACAGCACCCCCTGCTGGGACAGGCCGGGACTGGGGTAGCTGGGAGCTCCCCCCCACACCAGCCAGGGCTCCTGCCTCGCCCGCCAGCACCCCCTGCTGGGTCAGGCCGGGACTGGGGTAGCTGGGAGCTCCCCCCCACACCAGCCAGGGCTCCTGCCTCGGTTGCTGGGAGCTCCCCCCGGTCCTGCTCGCTCCCCGGCGCAGATTGCGCTGCCCGTGTCCCACTCCGAGCCGAAGTCCCAGGGTAACAACTGCGGAGAGACGGGCCAGTCTGGGGGGACTCCTGGGACCCCACATGGGGCCGGACTTCGCACCCGAGCCCTGCTGGGCGTGGTGGGTGCCGGGGGCACCCGGAGTGGGGAGGGCAGGGCCCCAGCCTCCAGCCCGTTCACTGCCGGCTGCACCCTCCCGCTTCTCTTCCTGGCTCCTGGGCTCCGAGAACCAGCGAACTGCTCCTGCTGCTCGCCGCAGCGCCCTCTGATTGGCCCCCCGCGCTGGGGGGAGGGGGAGGGGCGGGCAGGCAGGCCCTATATAAAGGCAAGGGCACTGCAGCATTTTGGCATTGGTGCAGAGCCCTGGCTGGTGCTCCGGCTGCTGGCTGCACCCCCCCCCGCTGCAACTGCTGGCTCTGCTCACCCCCCAAGCCCGCTCCAGGCCCAGCCCTGCGCTCCCCCCACACCCCCTTGCAGCTGCCCTGGCAGCCAGGCTCCCTGGCCAAGATGAGCTACGACCCCTATGGCTTCCGCAAGCCCTGGCAGGAGTACCGGAGCGTCCGCTCCACCAAGGCCACCGTCTCCTCCTCCCTGTACGCCCTGCACCGGCCGGCGCTGGCCCCCGCCCCGCACTCGGGCTGCGTCGCCTCCCTGGAGAAGTTGGACCTGTCCCAGGTGAGTAGCCTGAACGCGGAGCTGCTGGGGCTGCGGGCCCAGGAGAAGGAGCAGCTGGTCGGCCTCAACGACCGCTTCGCCGCCTACGTCGAGCAGGTGCGCCGGCTGGAGCGGGAGAACGAGGTGCTGCGGGCGGAGCTGGAGGCGCTGCGGCGGGAGCAGCGGGGCCCCTCGCGCCGGCAGCTGCTGTACCGGCAGGAGCTGCACGGCCTGCGTGGCCTGCTGGAGGCAGAGGCGGGCGAGAAGATGCGCGTGGAGGCCAGCCGGGACCGGCTGCGCGACGCCTGCAGCCAGCTGAAGGAGCGGTACGAGGAGGAGGCCCGGCTGCGGCTGCAGGCCGAGGAGACGCTGCAGAAGGTGCGGGAGGAGGCCAGCCAGGCCGCACTGGCTCACAGCGACGTGGAGGGCAGCATCGGCTCCCTGCTGGGGGAGATCGCCTTCCTCCACAAGGTCTTTGGGCAGGAGCGTGCCGAGCTGTCGGCCCAGGTGGAGGCGGCCAGCCTGCCGGTGGACGTGAGCCTGGCGGGAGCCAAGCCCGACCTGGCGGCCGCGCTGCGGGAGATCCGCGCGCAGTACGAGACGCTGGCCGGCAGGAACAGGCAGGCGGCCGAAGACTGGTACCGCACCAGGTTCGCCTCGGTGGCTGAGCTGGCCAGCAAGAACAACCAGGCGGTGAGGTCCATGCGGGAGGAGACGGCCGAATACCGGCTCCAGCTGCAGTCCCGCTCGGCCGAGGTCGAGGCCCTGCGCAGCGTCATCGACTCCCTCAACAAGCAGCTGGAGAGCGCGGAGGACAGGCAGAGCAGCGAGGTGGCCACGTACCAGGTGAGGCCAGGGCCGGCCTGGCATGGGGCAGGAGGCGCTGGGCAAGCCAGCTCCCTCGCCTGTGTAGGGCAGGCGCACGGGCCTGGAGCCAGGACTCCTGGGTTCTCAGCTTCATTTAGCCCCCTGTGGCACGGACAGAAAGCTGGGCCCAGGACTGCCAGGGTCTCCTGCCAGGGTCCGACGCCCTCCCCACAAACAGCCCGTGGCAGGGCTCGCCACCACAGCCTGCACTGGGGCGGGCTGGCACCAGGCACAAGGAGGGAGCCTGGGAAGTGCCCTCGATCCTTGGGAGAGAGCAGCTCTGGGCCGGGGGAGTGGGGCCATCGGCCGGGTCGTTTGAGGGGCAATGGGAGCAAACCGCATCCTGGGGGCGGCAAGGAGTGGGGAAGGGAGGGGCGCACACTCTTTGGAGCAGAGTTTCTCTCTCAATGAGCAGCGACCCTGGCGGGTCGGTCCCGCTCCCCAGCTCAGAGGGATGGTGCTCCCATGGCCCGGAGCTGCCAGGGGCCAGGAGAGAGAAGAAGTGCCACGTTGGCTCAGACGCCCTGAGGGCATGAATGCCATGGAGGTGACCGGGCCATAACCCAATGGCGGCCGGATGGGCCGGGGGTCATGGGAGGCATTGGCAGGTCAATGGGTCTGTCTGGAGCCAGCTCCCCGGGCAGGGCTGGGAGCCCCAGGGTGGGGGCATTCAGAGCCTTGGGAAGGCTCTGCCCCTCAGCCCTGGAGACTTTGCCATCCCTAGCACCTCTGGCCGTGGGGCTGGAGGTTGGGAACTCTACCCAGTGGGGGGCTGGGGTACCCTGGCCAGCCAGTGGCTGAATGGGGGAGCAGTGGTGATGGTGCAGGGGGTGAAGGCGCAGGGACCTGGCTGGCCAGCGGGGCTGGGGGCTGGGTCGTGACCCCCGGGCTTGGAAACGGCAGGCCCAGGGCTGAGACCGGGGCCCAGGCGGCACTGACCGGCCAGGCCTCTCTCCCTGCCAGGAGCGTGTGGCCGACCTGGAGCAGAAGATCAGGGAGGCCAAGCAGGAGATGGCGCGATACCTGCGTGAGTACCAGGACCTGCTCAATGTCAAGATGGCGCTGGACATCGAGATCGCTGCCTACAGGTACTGGCCCCCAGCCCTGCCTCACCCCCTGCCTGGCCCCCCAGCTCCCCCAGGCTTCCAGAGGAAGTGGCTGTCCCCAGGAGGCGGGCTGCAGGGTGGGCTGCGTCAGGACTCCTGGGTTTGGTTCCCAGCCCTGCACTGCGGCCCCCTCTCGCCTCCGTTTCTTCCCCTGCCGGTGCTATGGGGAGAAGGATCCTGACCCCCCACTCTGAGGGGGAAGAGCCAAGGGTTGCATGCTGCTGGCTGCCCTCGGGCCGCCTTGCAACGGTGCCACCTATGCTCAGCCACAGACTGGGGGACACGCCAGCCCCACGTTGCCCCAGTGCGAGGTCAGCGAGCTCTGCCCCTACAGATCTCCCTGCTATGGACAGGGCCCCCGAGCACCAGCCCCCAGAATGGCTCTGTGCCCAGGTCGCTCCCTGGGTCACAGGGTGACGCCTGCCCCCTGCTGGATGGACCTAGAGCTGCTCCACCGTGTCCCGGGCCGCCTGGTCGGGACCAAGAGTCCCCCTTTGTTTATCTTGTTGGGACAGGGGCTCTGAGCTCGGCCTGTCGTGCAGTGGGGCTGTGGTTGGGCCTGGCAGGGGGCTCCTGCGTGGGCTGGGGGGCTGAGCTGCGCTATCCCCTTTGGGTGTCTTACAGGAAACTGCTGGAGGGGGAAGAGATCCGCCTGAGCTACTCATCTCCCCTGTGATCAGCGGGGGCCCCTGCAGCAGGAGCAAAGCCCCCAGTCACCCCCACGTTCTCTGCACGCCCTGCTGCCTTGTCCCCTTCACACCCCTCCAGTCACTCCCCTTTCCCCCCAGTGCTGAGGGAGCCGAGCAGCTGCCCCCCAGGGCCATTCACCAGCGGCCAGGGCCGTGCTACCAGGCGCCTGTGAGAGCCCCGTCTCATGGGGCAACGAGGCCAAGGGGCTGCAGCCAATCTCCGCCATGGCCCAGCAAGGGCAGGCTCCAGACCCCCCGTCAGCAGTGCAGGGAGAGGCCAGGAGCGTCCTGGACTCCAGCCACGCCCTTCCCCTCCCAGCGCTGTGCTGAACACGGGCCAGGCCCCGCTGGACAAGGCCTCTTGGGTGTGTCCTCAGGAGCCCAGCACCCGCCCCGGGTACCGCTTGGCCCCAGCAGGGCTCCCGGGGCTGATGCCCTCTTGCTGCTGCCTGCGGCTGAGCTGCCTCCGACCCAAGTGACGGGCACCGGGCCTTGAACCACAAGTGGCACGTGCCCTCTCCGGATCCCGGAGGGCGAAACCACAAGTGACGTCCCCCTCAGAGCTGCCCCCCGGCCGTGCCAAGGGAGAACCGCAGCGGGGCGCAGGCAGCACTGCCATGCCAACAGGGAGGGCTGCCCCCAGGCCCTGGGCTGCCCCCAGGCTGCCCCCCCAGCAATGGGCAGGGCTGACCAGCATGCACCCCCTGCTGTAAAGGGGCAAACAGCGCAGGGAGGCACAGCAGTGGGCAAGCAGGGAGAGCTGTACCCCATTCCCCTGGCCCTGCTGTGCCCCCCAGAGCTGCCTCCCACCATTGGGTGTCCCCCACACAGAGGGGGGATCCCACAGAGCCAGGAGCCAGCCCAGCCTCTCCTGAAGGGGGCGCTCACAGCCACCACAGGGCCCAGTCCAGCTCTCCCAGGAACTTCCCCCAGGGAGCCCCCACGCAGGCGGAGGTGGTGGGGGGCTAATCAGCACAGCGCCCCCCGTAGGCAGCTCTGCTGCATCAGTCAGCGTGGGGCCAGCACAGACCCTTCGTCTCTCCCAATCATTGCACCAGCCACCCTTTCGGCGCAGCGGCTGGGCCAGCCTGGCACGGCCCCGCTGCCAGTGCCTGCGAGGGAAGCACCTCAATAAAAGCCCCGTGGCATTAACCTGAGCCGGAGACTCTTGCTGTGGGCTGGTGAGAACGGGGCGGGAACGAACACAGCCCTGTAATGCAGCAGCTCCGGGTCAAGACCTCCGCAGTGCCCCCTGCTGGGAGAGGTCAGGGCTGGAGTAGCTGGGCACTTCCCCCACACCCAGGGCACCTGCCCCGCTCCCTGCAGTGCCCCCTAGGAGAATCCTGCAGAAAGGCGTGCTCTAGCCCATCTGCTGTCAGTGACGTCTCTGCTCTAGTGCCCAGCCGGGGCCAAGGGCTGGGCCCAGCCCCAGAGATGGGCTAGAGGGAAGCGCTCTTGCCCCAGGCTGCAGCTAGTTCAGTGCGAGAAGGCCACCCGCTCCCACCAGCTCTAGGGGTCTCTTCATGGCCAGCAGCCCCTCCTTCTTGGCTGGGGATAGGGCCCTCCAGGTGGGGCAGGTCCATGCCCCATGGAAGCTGCACGCTCCCCCTTTCTGAGCTCTCACCTCAAGTCTGCAGCACCAGGGCATGGTGCCCTCACCCAGGTCGGGGCAGGGTCCCTGCTGGGGCACCCCAGGCTGGGGCGAGCTGAGCGTCCCCCTCACCTCCAGGTGATGCTGAGCATGGAGGCATTCGCATGGCACAGCCGTGCCAGGGCTGGCTGAAGGGCCGGCGGGCAGCAGGCTGGTGTAGCGCAGAGCGGGCTGGGCCTGGGGCTCCGTCTTACCCACCAGCGCCCAGAAGCACTTGTGCTGGGAGACAACGAGGCGCTGGTGGCAGCAGAAGACGACACGGCAGCCAGCTGGCCCCTGGGGTGGATACTGCCAGGCTGCATCAGCAGGAAGAGCATGGTGAGCGTAGGGGGAGGCCCTGCACCACCTGCTATGCAGCCATGCTGAATGCCACCACCTGGGGGGAGAGGGGCAATATGGGGTGTGACCTGCCCCTGCTGGGACATACCACATGGGGATGTGACTTGGCCCTGCTGGGATATAGCTTGGGGGGTGTGTGTGATAGAATGAGAATTTTTTGTAATATTTTGTATGACTGTGCGTGCCTCGGTTTCCCCATATGGTGCATGGTTAACGAGGTGGTGGGAAAAGGTTGTTACCAGCAATCCAGATGTGACTGACATCTAGCCCCGTGCCCATGGAGAATCCAAGAAGACAATGGCCACTTCAACTGCCCAGACATTTGGTACCTGGCAACAAACGACCCTGGATGACTCCCATTCCTTAGGAGGCCAGCCAGGTGTGAGCAGCTGGAGGACAAAGGGCTGAGGAGGGGCCCGGTGGGGTAGTTCCACGGGGGCGGCTGCAGGCAGGAGAGACGTTTCTGCACGGGGACTAAAGGGGTCGGGGGCTCGGGGCTGACCCCGTGGGCCCAGGCTGTAACTTGCTGCTCTCTGTGGTGGCCAAGGCCTGGCTACGCCGTGTTCCAGACACCTGCTAACCCCCGGCTGAGAGTCCCGGCCGATCAGGGGAGGTGGGGGTGTAGTGTTCCCTTTGGGGTACACGTCTCCCCAAAGGGGCCTGGGGGCATTCCTCGGCAGGCTGTAGGGCCTGCCCACAGAACCAGGCTGGCCATGGCCCCTTGGGGAAGCGGGACACCCGCCTGGCTGGAGGGACATTCTCTGGAGCACAGGGTCTGGTCTGGGGCAGACCCAGGAACTGCCTCTGGAGGGAACAGCCAGTTTCCATGGGGCCATTCCCATTCCATCCCCACACGAGACAAAGACCTCCCACCATAAGCTGACCCCCCTCCCCCCCCAGCCTGGCCCATCCCTCCACCCTTGAGCCATGAGACAACACCAAATCCAGGGCACCAGCTGCCGTTTATTGTAGGCACTCCAGAGAGCAGATCCCAGCCGTGGGAGCTGGTTGGAGGGCGATCAAGATGGGACAGGGCTCTGGGGTCGGCAGCCCCGAACCCTAGATGCCTTTTGGGGGTCTGTCAGACTAGTGTTAGGCCTCCCAGCAATGGGGTTGGGTTAAATAGAGCAGATGGGGGGATGGGTTGAGGGTAAGGGGGCTGCAGGCCCAGCTCTGACAGGTCCCATCACACGTTCTGCCAGGTGGTCCAGGGGCTCCAGGTGGAGTTGACCAAGGGGTCCTGGCAGCGGATCTGCACCCACCGTACATCCCCCTCGATGCTCATCTCCGTCACCCCCTCCAGCTGGAGGGAACCCTGAAATACAGAGAAACGGTGAGGGGGGGGGGGCTTGCCGTGTCCTCAGCAGGGCAGAGGGGAGATGTGACACAGGCAGGGAGAAAGGAACCCTGGGGGAGGGGAGAGGAGATCTGTGATTCTCAGCATTTGGGCCTGAAGCCAGGCTGCCCTCGGAGAAGGTGGCTGCGGATCTGGGCTGGCGTTTGGACAGGGAGCCATGAGTGACGCTGGCAGGGGGGTGAGGAGCACATCTGAAAGTGACAGAAGTCAACTTCCTGACTCAAACAGCATTGTAGCAACATGGGAGACCTTGTGCTGACAGGACTAGAGTGGGTGGTTGCTTCGTTTCAAGTGACCATGACTTCATCGCGTTTGTGATGCAAATGCAAAATAAAGTCCAAACAGTAATATATATACTTGGCTCTTTAAAAGGGCCAAGCTGAAAACAATCATAAGCCAAATCAGTTGGGAGTCAATTTAAAACAGAAAATGTGAATGATAATTGGGAACTGTTCAAGAACATGTTAGTAGATGCCCAAAAAGCCAGGAAGAAGGCTACACTGGTTAAAAAGAGGGGAAATAAAAGCAGCTCTTAAAAATAAAATAAATAATACACGGAAGAAAGGGTAAGCTGATAGTAATGAATATAAATCAGATCAATGGCTCCTTGTCGAGTTGGCAGCCGGTATCAAGCGGAGTGCCCCAAGGGTCGGTTTTGTTCAATATCTTCATTAATGATCTGGAGGATGGTGTGGATTGCACCCTCAGCAAGTTTGCAGATGACACTAAACTGGGAGGAGTGGTAGATACGCTGGAGGGTAGGGATAGGATACAGAGGGACCTAGAAAAATTAGAGGATTGGGCCAAAAGAAATCTGATGAGGTTCAACAAGGACAAGTGCAGAGTCCTGCACTTAGGACGGAAGAATCCCATGCACAGCTACAGACTAGGGACCGAATGGCTCGGCAGCAGTTCTGCAGTAAAGGACCTAGAGGTTACAGTGGACGAGAAGCTGGATATGAGTCAACAGTGTGCCCTTGTGGCCAAGAAGGCCAATGGCATTTTGGGCTGTATAAGTAGGGGCATTGCCAGCAGATCAAGGGACGTGATCGTTCCCCTCTATTCGACATTGGGGAGGCCTCATCTGGAGTACTGTGTCGTTTTGGGCCCCACACGACAAGAAGGATGTGAAAAAATTGGAAAACGTCCAGCGGAGGGCAACAAAAATGATTAGGGGACTGGAACGCATGACTTATGAGGAGAGGCTGAGGGAACTGGGATTGTTTAGTCTGCAGAAGAGAAGAATGAGGGGGGATTTGATAGCTGCTTTCAACTCCCTGAAAGGGGGTTCCAAAGAGGATGGCTCTAGACTGTTCTCAGAGGTAGCAGATGACAGAACGAGGAGTAATGGTCTCAAGTTGCAGTGGGGGAGGTTTAGGTTGGATATTAGGAAAAACTTTTTCACTAGGAGGGTGGTGAAACACTGGAATGCGTTACCTAGGGAGGTGGTGGAATCTCCTTCCTTTGAGGTTTTTAAGGCCCAGCTTGACAAAGACCTGGCTAGGATGATTTAGTTGGGGATCGGTCCTGCTTTGAGCAGGGGGTTGGACTAGATGACCTCCTGAGGTCCCTTCCAACCCTGATATTCTATGATTCTATGACAATAGCCAGTATCAGATGCTTCAGAGGGAATGAAGAGAACAGGGTAATTATCAGATGATGAATCCCCTGTCATCCAGGCCCAGCTTCTGGCAGTCAGAGGTTTAGGGACATCCAGAGCATGGGGTTGTGTCACTGACCATCTTGGCTAACGGCCACTGATGGACCTATCCTGTATGAACTTATCAAATTCTTTTTTGAACCCAGTTATACTTTTGGCCTTCACAACATCTCCTGGCAGCAAGTTCCACAGGTTAACAGTGTGCTGTGTGAAGATGTACTTACTTATACAGTATTTGTTTTAAAGCTGCTGCTTATTAATTTCATTGGGTGACCCCTGGTTCTTGTGATATGTGAAGGGGTAAATGACACTTTCATATTCACTATCTCCACACCATTCACAATTTTCTAGACCTCCATCATACACCCCCAAGCCTTGGTCGTCCCTTTTCCAAGCTGAACAGTCCCAGTCTTCTTCATCTCTCCTCCTACGGAAGCCGTTCCAGACCCCTCAGCATTTTGATTGCCCCTCTCTGTACTTTTTCCAATTCTAATGTATCTTTTTTGAGAGGAGCAACCAGAACTGCACGCAGTATTCAAGGTGTGGGAGCACCACTATTACATTTTATGATATTTTCTGTCTCATTATCTAGCCCTTTCCTAATGATTCTATTCTGTTATGTTTTTTGGCTGCCGCTGCACATTGAGTGGATGTTTTCAGAGAACTATCCACAGTGACTCCAAGATCTCTTTCTTGAGTGGTAACAGCTAATTTAGAGCCCATCATTTTGTATGGGTAATTGGGATTATGTTTTCCAATGTGCATTACTTTGCACTTATCAACACTGAATTTCACTGGCCACTTTGTTGCCCAGTCACCCAGTTTAGTGAGATCCCTTGGTAACAATTCGCAGTCAGCTTTGGTCTTAACTATCTTGAGTAGTTTTGTAACCTCTGCAAATTTTGCCACCTCATTGTTTACCCCTTTTTCCAGATCATTTAGGAATAGGTTGAATAGGCAAGGGACCAGTACAGACCCCTGGGGACACCACTATTTATCTCTCTCCATTCTGAAAACTGACCATTTATTCCTACCCTTTGTTTCCTATCTTTTAACCAATCACAGACCCATGAGAGGACCATCCCTCTTATCATCAAGTGGGTGTGCTTCTCGTGGGTCCCACAGGGATCAGCTCTTGGCCCTACGCTATTTAACATTTTTATCAGTGACCTAGAAGAAAGCATAAAATCGTCGCTGATGAAGTTTACAGATGGCACAAAGATGGGGGAGTGGGAAATAACGAAGAGGACAGAGCACTGACACAGAGTGATCTGGATTGCTTGGTAAGCTGGGCACAAGCAAAACAATGTGCGTTTCAATACGACCGAATGTGCAGTCCTATGATCTGGGAACGAAGAGCGAAGGCCACACTCACAGGGTGGGGAAACGACTGTGACAGGCACTAGGGGTTGTGGTGGATAATCAGCTGACCAAGAGCGCCCAGTGCAATGCCGTGTTCCAAAGAGCTACTGCCATCCTGGGATGCATCAACAGGGGAACACTGAGCAGCCGAGAGGCGATTTTCCCTCTGGATTTGGCACTGGGGTGGTTGCAGCTGGAATGCTGCGCCCAGGTCTGGTGCCCACAATTCAAGAAGGATGTTGATATATTGGAGAGGGGTCAGAGAAGAGCCAGGAGAACGATTAAAGATTAGAAATCTGGCCTGACAGTGACAGACTCCAGGAGCTCAGTCTGTTTAGCAGAACAAAGAGAAGGTTCAGGGGTGACTTGATCCTTGTCTACCGGTGCTTGGGCAGCAAGTATTTAATAAGGGGCTCGACGCATCAATCCTGCAGAGAAAGGTCTAATCCGATCCAGCGGCTGGAAGTTGAACCTAGACACGTTCAGAGTGTTGAAAGTTTGAGCCTGATGTCCAGGACATGAACCATGGGAACCTCTTCCCAAGGGCTGTGGTGGAGTCTGGGTCACTGATGATTTTTAAAAGGAAACTGAATGGTTTCCTAACCCATCTGCCCTCGCTCAGGCAGAAGTGAACTCAGGGACGTGCTCCGGCCTGTGTGGCACAGGAGGTCAGACGGGCGATGACAGTGGTTTCTTCTAGCCGCAGACTCTGTGCATTGCGTGGGGGACAGGTGGGGGCGGGGGGGGGATACAAGCAGGGGGAGTGACAGGTGGGAGATGGGTAGGGGCGTGGTGATAGGCAGAGAAGGGGTGACCCAAGCCCAGGCAGGATGAGTGACAGGTGGGGGGACAGTTACCTTCGTGCCGTCCCAGTGCTCGTATTCCAGCTGGTAGCGCAGGAGGAAGTAGGAGTGTGGGCTGGACCAGGAGGCTGGGGGGGCCCAGGACAGGTGCAGGAGCCCACCCTTGCTCTGCGCAGTCACGTCTTGCGGGGGGCCCGGCCTCACTGTGGGCACAGAGAGTCGTTAGTCATGGGGGAGGGTGGGATCAGACAGATGGGCAAGGGGAGCCCCTCCACTCTCTGGGTACTCCCTCCCCTTGGCCTTTCGGGAAGGGCCCAATCACCCCAAGGCTGCCTAACCCCAGCTCCGGACACACTGAGCTGGAACAGACCCAAGGCAGGAACTGCAGGGCCCAGGCCCTTTGGATGATTCCTCTACCACGGGAGAGGGGCGCTATGGGGCAGGGGGGGGGGGGGGCCACAATCTCTGTACCTATGGGAAGGATCTGTGGGGCATGGCTGGGGACAGAGAGAGTCCATACGCCAATGAATGGGGTGTGGGGGGCTGACAATCCATGAATCCATGGGAGACCCTCTAGGGCAGGGTGGGGGGAGACCGTCCCGATAGCCATGGGGGGGCATGACTGTCCTGGTAACTATGGATGGGGCTATGAGGTGGGGGGAGACGGCTCCAGTAGCCATGGGGGGGCCTATGGGGCGAGGAGGGAATGGTCCGTGAAGCCATGCAGGGGTCTATGGAAGGGGAGGATGTGGGTCCTGGTACCCATGCGGTGGCAAGGGCTCTGGGGCAGTAGGGGGCCAAGTACCCACACAGGGGGCTCTCGGGCAGTGAGGGACCTGATACCCATGCGGGGGCAGGAGCTCTGGGGCAGTGAGTGGGGGGTCCTGATACCCATGCAGGGGGCTCTGGGGCAGTGAGTGGGGGGTCCTGATACCCATGCAGGGGGCTCTGGGGCAGTGAGTGGGGGGTCCTGATACCCATGCAGGGGGCTCTGGGGTAGTGAGTGGGGGGTCCTGATACCCATGCGGGGGCAGGAGCTCTGGGGCAGTGAGTGGGGGGTCCTGATACCCATGCAGGGGGCTCTGGGGCAGTGAGTGGGGGGTCCTGATACCCATGCAGGGGGCTCTGGGGCAGTGAGTGGGGGGTCCTGATACCCATGCAGGGGGCTCTGGGGTGGTGGGGGCCCAGGTACCACACAGGAGGCTCTGGGGCGGGGGCCGGTACCATGCGGGACCCACCGATGTCCCGGAGGAAGAGGCGGTGGGTGATGTTCACGAAGCTCTCAGCCGAGATTCCCTCCAGCACCAGCTCCAGCGGCCTCGGCTCCTCCGCGAAGGGGCAGAAGGTCCCGTCCGCCAGGGTCGCCGTGAAGGTCTGGGGCTGGTCCGGGCCCTGCAGCGCGGAGCCTCCGCCCACGTAGAGCCAGGCCCCGGGGGCACCGTCGGGGCTGCGGCAGAGCAGGGGCAGGTCGGGCAGGGCGGGATGGGGGGGCACAGGGGGGCCAGGGGACGAGGGGGGGTGGGGTCCAGCCAGAGGGCGGGGTGGCGGACTGGGGGTAGGACAGGGGGGCAGTAGGGTGGGGGGAGGAGTGGGGTCCAGCCGGGGGACAGGGAGCACAGTGTGGCGGGGGGCACGGCGGAGGGCAGTGGGGCGGGGTCTGGAGTGGGGGCAGTGGGGCGGCAGGGGAGGGGCGCAGTGGGCCGGGGGGCACGGCGGGGGGCAGTGGGGCGGGGCCCAGCCCGAGGACTGGGGACAGTAGGGCGGCAGGGCGGGGGGGGGCAGTGGGGCGGCACAGCAAGGGGAGGGGCGCAGTGGGGCAGGCGGGACGACGGGTGAGGCATGGCGGGGGAGGGGGCAGTGGGGGGGCGGGGGGCAGTGGGGCAGGCAGCACGGCGTGGGTCAATGGGGCGGGTCCTTGGGACTGGGGGCAGAGGAGCGGCATGGCGGGGGAGGGGGGACAACGGGGCGGGGCGGGGGCGGGGAGCGGCACGGCGGGCGGGGCGCTCACCTGCGGGAGAGGCGGGCGCGGAAGGCGGCGGGGGAGGGGCAATGGGGCGGCGCAGTGGGGCGAGGGGCACGGCGGGGGAGGGGGCGCGGTGGGGCGGCACGGCGGGCGGGGCGCTCACCTGCGGGAGAGGCGGGCGCGGAAGGCGGCGGGGGAGGGGCAGTGGGGCGGCGCAGTGGGGCGAGGGGCACGGCGGGGGCGGGGGCGGGGGCGCGGTGGGGCGGCACGGCGGGCGGGGCGCTCACCTGCGGGAGAGGCGGGCGCGGAAGGCGGCGGGGGAGGGGCAGTGGGGCGGCGCAGTGGGGCGAGGGGCACGGCGGGGGCGGGGGCGGGGGCGCGGTGGGGCGGCACGGCGGGCGGGGCGCTCACCTGCGGGAGAGGCGGGCGCGGAAGGCGGCGGGGCGCAGCGCGGTCCAGGAGCAGCTCAGCTCGCCGCCGTAGGACTCCGCCCGGCAGGTCACGGCGCTGCCTGGGGGCAGGAGGGGTCAACATCGCCCGGCCCCCCCAGTGACCCGCCGTAGCCCGGCCCCCCGCCCCTGGGAGTCTGCCCCCCCGCGCTCCCCGCCCCTGGCAGCGTGACCCCCCGGGTGGTCCCCCCGCGCTCGCGGTCCCCCCACGACCGGTGACCCCCCGGGAGCCCGCCCCCCGCGCTCTGTGCCCTGGGAGCAGACAGCCGTGGGCTGTGCCCCCTGCCCGCCCTGTTGGCGCAGAGCCCCGGGGGAGCTGGAGTTCCTGGCTCTCCCCCCCTTGCGCCCCTTCCCTCGCCCCCCGCGAGAACCAGCCTCTGCCCCCCACGTGGCAGGCACCTGGGGCGCCCTGCAGCAGGGGGTAGTCCGGGTCGCTGACCACCACGTAGGTGGAGTCCAGCAGGCGAGGGCCATGCCAGCAGGTGTAGTTGCCGGTGGCCGGCTGGTCCAGGCCCTCGAGCGTGAGGGTGCGGCCGGCGATGTGGTGCTCGGCCATGATCTCCTGGTGCTCGTTCTGCTTCCAGGACACCTGCTCCTGGGCGCTGTCGCAGGTCACCACCACCTGGCCGTTCACCTCCCCGACCAGAACTGGGGAGAAGGGAACCCGCCGTCAGCGCCCAGCCTGGGGGGCTGGGGCAGGCCAGGCCCAAGGGCTGCAACACCCCCCCCCCCGCCTGGGCAGGGTGTACCCGGTGCCCCCCCACCCCAAAGGCCAGATGTACCCCTCCCCCCTACCTCCCCAAAGGGGCTAGGCATGCCCTGTGTCCTCCTCCCCTACTCCCAGGGGGACAGATGTACCCCTACCCCGTCTAGGGCCCTGCGTGACCTGTGCCTCCCCCCTTCCCCCCCAAGGGGGCTGGGCATGCCCTGTGTCCCCCTCCCCTACTCCCAGGGGGACAGATGTACCCCTCCCCCCTACCTCCTCATCTAGGGCCCTGCGTGACCTGTGCCTCCCCTCTTCCCCCCCAAGGGGGCCGGGCATGCCCTGTGTCCCCCTCCCCTACTCCCAGGGGGACAGATGTACCCCTCCCCCCTACCTCCCCATCTAGGGCCCTGCGAGACCTGTGCCTCCCCCCTTCCCCCCCAAGGGGGCCGGGCATGCCCTGTGTCCCCCTCCCCTACTCCCAGGGGGACAGATGTACCCCTACCCCCTCCAGGGCCCTGTGCCCCCCCGCCCCTGCCGCAGGGGCCAGGTGTGCTGCATGCCCGCACACAGTCTGCTCCCCTAGCACCCCCCAGGGTGTGACTCACACTTGCTGGGGAAGTCTGTCAAGGCTGCTGCAGGGACCACACACAGCACCTGCACTAGGGCCACCAGCATCAGCATCTGTGGGGCAGGAAGGGCAGAGTTAGTGCTTCGCATGGGCACCCACAGGGAGCTCCACGTCCCAAAGCCCCAGCACCCCCTGAGACTAGCCCCAAGGTCTGAGCGCTCAGCCCCTGCCTGAGCGACTCCCAGTCACAGCGTGAAGGGCCCAGCCCATAGGCCGAGCCACAGAATAAGCAGCCAGGGCCCTTCGTCTATGTAGCCGGGACTGTCTGTCTGTCTGTCTGTCTGTGCCACACCCAGAACAACAGGGCCCTGATCTCGGGGCGGGGGAAGGGGGCTGTGCCATGCCTGGCATGGGGGGCCGGGTCTCGGGGGGGCAAGGGGAGGCCCTGATCGCAGGGCGTGGGGCTGTGCCTGGCATGATGGGGGCTCCATTCTCTGGGGTGGGAGTGTGGGTCTGTGCAGCCAGGGGCTGGGGCTGGCAGAGAGGGGTCCACAAGGAAGCAGGTGCTGGAAAAGGCAGTGGGCTAAGCTGTTGAAGAGGATGAGGTGATGGGCCCGGGCAGGTAAAAGGAGGTGCATGAGGTAGGGGGGGCGCACTGGGGGAAGGGTAGAGAGCCCCATGGATCAGGGAGCATGAAAGGGTCAGGCCAGACTCTACCCCCAGAGCCTGCAGTGGGCCAAGGTAGCTGTTTCCTCTGCAGCCCCCTCCCCAGCCCCAAACTCTACGGACCCCAGCACCAGAGAAGGCAGCACACTCCCTGGGGCCGCCCTAGCTCTAACCCCCTGGCCATGGGGCTCCCAGCCCTTCCCCTGGAGGGGAGTCCATAGCCGGCTCCCTGGGTCAGACAGCTGAGCCCTATCCTGCCCTCAGGAGTGCTGGGCCCCTGGCCAGGCTGCCGGCTGGCTCCCCCCACACATCGTGTCCAGCCCTACCTCGGAGGGTCAGTGATCTCTGCTGCTCGCAGGGCTGAGGAGTCTGGTGCTGAAGCAGGGCTGGGGTGTGCTGTGTGTGACCCGTATATATTCACCCCGGCCCGGCAGGGGAGACCCCAAAGGCACAGAAAGGAGAAGCAGAGAAACCACATAGCTGGAAACATCAATTCTCAGAAGAGAGAAAGCTGGAGAAGCCACGCTGGGCTGGGGCCAAAACCAGAGAGAGAGATACAGGGCCCCGCATCTCCTGAGGCGAGGGGCCCAGCCCCACAGCAGTTGCTACAGGGTCCCCCCATTGCTCCTGCAGAGTGAGGGGCCTGGCCCCATAGCAAGTCCTGGTTATCACCCCCCATCAGTCACACTCACCTGGAGCCCTGGCATGGCTTGATTTGTGTCCATGCAGCTGCCCAGACCCCCACCAAGATCGGGGCGCGGCCATGCTGGGCAATTTGCAAGCATATAACGGGGACAGTCCCTGCCCCTGGAGCTCACTGGCCACGTGTGAGATGAGAGAGCAGGGGTACAACAGACGGATGGCAGAGCACGAGGCGGCGGGGAGACGGAAATGGTCTCGGTGAAGCTGGGGGGTTATTGTAGGCCTGGCGGCAGAGGGAGCTGGATGGAGCCAATGAGGTGGCCTTGCAGAGCTTAAGGGGAGCTCGCCCTGCGTGTAAGGGCAGCCAGGCAGAAAGTGCAAAGGTGTGAACTGCTGCAAGTGCCCAGTGTCTGCTGTCCCATTGGCAGGGCGAAGGCGGAGTTGGCCCAGTGGTGTCTGGGAGATGATGGGGTGGCGGGATGGGACAGGCCATGGACGTGGAGATGGGGGTTGTGTCTGATGGGAGTCTGACACCAAGGCCATTGGTACCAACTGCTCTATAACAGCGCCTCCTCCTGGTGCACAGCTTGCAGGGCTTTTATCCACCGGGCATGTCGGGAAAGCCAGGCTCAGGCTGCTCCCCACGCTCCCGGGGTGAGGCTGCAGGCGGCTGGTGAAGAGGGAAACATGTGTCACCATCTGAATCCGGGCAGGCTGACAAACAGGTTTGAGGCAGACCAGGGAAGTCGATTCACCCACCTTGCTGTCAGCTAGTCATGGGGCATTGTAAGCCAATACAGCAAAGCCAAACACAGAGCAAAGAGAGGGAGGGGGGACACCAGCAAATAAGCCCCACAGGGCTCTCCTGTCTCCGGGGGGGTGGGGGGGGATATACAGAGAAATGTGGGGCTGGGAGGTCCTCCAGTTCCCTCCCTGTGCTGTGGTAGCACCAAGTGACCCTAGACCAGCCCTGACAGGGGTTTGTCCAAACTGGTCTTAAAACCTCCAATGACAGGATCCCACCACCTCCCTTGGACGCCTGGTCCGGAGCTTAGCTACCCTGAGAGTTCGACAGCTTTCCCCAATGTTTCCCTTGAGCTCCCCTGCAGCAGAGCAGGCCCGTTCCCACTTGTCCTGCCTGCAGTGGGCATGGAGAACACTCCAGCCCTGCAGACTGGGATCAGGTCCGCAGGCTCCTGTTCTCACCAGTGAACATGCCCTTGCTTAACCTTCCCTCAAAGGCCACGCTTTCGAAACCTCGGATCATTTGTGTTGCTCTCCTCTGGACTCCCTCCAATTTATCCACATCTTCCCTGAAGTGCGGCACCCAGACCTGGACACGGTGCTGCAGCTGGGGCCTCCCCAGTGCTGTGTAGCACAGGGCAATTACCTCCCCTGTCTTACATGCAACACCCCTCTTAATAAACCCCAGAATTACATTAGCCTTTTCTTTTACAACTGCATCACGTTGTTGACTCGTATTGGATTTGTGATGCCCAGCTCCTGTCCCACAGTCCTACCGGCTAGCCAGGTAGTCCCGTCTGAAGTTGTGCATTTGAGTTTTCCTTCCTGACTGAAATACGTTGTACTTGTCTTTACTGAATTTCAACTTGTTGAATTCAGACCAGTTCTCCCATTTGTCAAGGCCATTTTGAATTCTCATCCTGTCTTCCAAAGTGTTTGCAACCCCTCCCAGCTTGGTGTCGCCTGCAAATTCTATACGTACACTCTCTCCTCCATTATCCAAGTCATTAAGGAAAATACTGACTACCATGACTACAGAATGAGCCATGCTCCCCCAGGGTTTGGCTTTGGGGGACTCGCTGACTGGGGCTCATGGGGTGGAGCAGGGGGCTGCAGGCCTAGGGGACTGGTCTAAGGGGTCAGTGAAGCCATATGGCCTGCCCTGGAGAAAGGGTGTGAGCCCTGGGGGTCTGGCCCACTCCAGGGGGTCTTCCAGGGACTGCTCCAAAGGTCGGGGTGTGATAACAACTGTCACAGGGCATAGGGAGGCCTTAGGGTAGCCCAGAGAGCTGTAGGCTACAGCACGGTCCATCCTGGTCAGCCCAGAGCCCAGCCAGGCTGCAGTGACCCCTTGGTGCAAGATTTGTCTGTCCCTCGTCTGACCTGCTTCATCAGACTCCAGGTGAGAGCCCCGACTCCTGCCAGCAGCAGCCTTGTCCCCGCCTCACACCTCCCCTGTCCAGGTGGGGAGATCCAAATCCCTCTGCGGTGTCAATATCTGAGCAACTGGATTTATGGTTGTCTTTTCAAGGCCATGGAGACCAACACCCAGATGGCGAGGTGACACCCACACCCCTGTGTCTTACCCTGCCCTGAGAGCAAACAGGCCTTTCCCACCCACTGAGTAACAATGCATCTTAGGGGAAACTGAGGCACAAACAGGTTTCCCCCCCCAAATATCACAGAATATTCCCACTTTGTCACATCTCTTCCCCCTTCCAGACCAAACTGGGCAGGGCACTTTAACCAGTGACCTGGGGAAGTTCGAACCCACAAGTGTTATTCACAGGTGCCACAGCATCTTTCGCATCCCCTTGGTAGCTTCCTGCCTGGCACTTCCAAGAGTTAGGACACAGAACCACAGGGTTAGAAGGGTCACCCAGTCCAACCCCAGCCAGCAGGCAGGAGCTGTTGTGTCCTTAACTGTCTATAGCGCTGTTGCTATTCAATCAAACGTCCCGTACCCAGCCCGCAGCTCGGAGCCGGGTCCCGTCTGCCCTTAGGGCCGGGCTGGTCGCTCGCACTCACGGGGGGCACGAGGAGCTGGCATGAGACCTGTGCCCGTTTGCCACCCCAAAGCCCTGGGGTTTGGAACTGGGCTGGGGTCCTGCCATGGCTCCTCCCCGTCGTCTGCCAGGGAGCGAGGGCAGCGAACTCCCCCTCCCCGTGTCGGCCACCTGGGCTGCCCTGACCCCCAGGCTGGAGCAGGGGGTGAGCCCTTGGGCATTTGGTCTTATCCCAGCCCTGTCTCTGGGGTTCTGATGTCCCAGGGGCTGGTGAGGCAGGGGGCAGGGTGCTCCTGCACCTGGGCAGGCCCCTCTGGAGCTGTCCCCCAACCCCAGGGCTGTGTGTATGCCAGGAGCCCGTCCCCCCTTGGGGGTAACCTGCTGCCCTCCCCCGCGATGGGCTGTGGTTCAGGCTGCCTGCTGAGTTCACCGTGCTCTAGTAACCCCTGAGCTGGTAGGAGACAGGCAGCCATCCCGTTAGCTTGCAAGGTTTAACTTGCATCCCGACAGATTCCCCTTTCTGACCTCCCGTGGCACCTTCCCTGGGGACTGCTGCCGTGAAGCAGCCACTGAGGACGTGTTTCCAGTGTGCACAGATAACACCTCCCATCGCTTCAGCGCGCACACGTCACAAGGCTCGCAATCCCCAGGGGCCCCTGCCTTTCCGCGGAGACTCACGGCGTTATGGGTGAGCCAGACTCAGGGGACAGGCCAAGCAGTTAAGGGCAGAAGGGGCCACCAGGTCAGCTAGTCTGACCTATACATCACAGGCCCCCCTGCCAGCACCAGCCCACTAAACCGAAACTGGACTAAAAGAGCACAGCCCACAGGGGACTAGACTGTGTGTCACCAGCAGCGAGCAGGCGGCCAGAGGGGCCCGGGGCCCACGCAGTGACAGGGAAATGACAGATGAGCTACACCCAGCTAATTCTGGCTGGTGACCACCCCCATACGCTGCAGAGGAAGGTGACATACTCCTTGGGACAAAGGGGGAATTTTCTGTAATATGATGTATGGATACTGTGCATGCCTCCATTTCTCCTATGTGCTGCATGGGTAATTAGGCGGGAGGAAAAGGGTGTTTACTCTGTGCAGAGAGCCAGGTGTGACTGCGCCTCGCTGGCTGGGCCCCAGGCCAAAGACAGTCCCAGAAGACAATGGCCAGCCCAATTGCCCAGACATTTGGCACCTGGCAACTGACAACCCTGGATGCCCCCCGCCCCGTCTCCCCTGC